ACATCAATAACTTCTTTTTTAAATAAAAATTCAATCATTAACGGAGAAAACTGGATATTCAAAAGTAGATATTGAAAAAATATATTAACTCTTAACATAAAAAATATTAAACTTTAATATCTAGATATTCAAATCACATACTAGATATTAACGCTTAACATCCAGATATTTACTTTTTCCCTATGTTTTATTCCCTATGTTAAAGAATAAAAATATTAAACTTTAACATCCAGATATTTACCTTAAATATCCATTTTTCTCCGTGTTATTATTTTTCCATAGGAATTAAGATTTTCAAAAATTTCAAATTCAATAACTTGAAAGAATATTATCATAAAACATGAAGATATCAATATCGATTTCTTCATGTTTTATAATTTTTAATTAAAAGTGACCGAATCATTATTTTATATTATAAGAATATTGTTACTGTAACTTTATCAAAATTATTTTCATTATTTCAAATCAATTATTATTAATAATTTTTAAAAAAATTCTCTGACAATTTTCAAGTCCATTTGATTACAATTTAATTTTACTCGAGATTTTACTAAATTTCAATAATTATTTGTAAATTCCTCAATTAAATTTATTTATAAAGCAATTTTTATTAGCAAATTCTACAAGAATTCAATTATTTAAATACAAAAATAAATAATTTATTTAATAAGGGACCGTCCATAAATTACGTAACACGTTTTTAGTGAAATTTTGAACCCCCCCTCCCCCTATGTAACAAGTTGTAACAAAATCGTTTTACACCCCCCCCTCCTTATCAATGTTACGTAATTTTTAAAAATATTTTTTTACTAACGTTTTTCGAAACAAATTTGTTTATTACTGCTATTTTTAGTATTTATATCGTACAATAGCAATACAAAATTAAGTTAAATATAAAAAACATTTAGAGGAATAATTTTATTAATCATACTGAACAACCAAAAATATAACATTGATTTTTTAACAATAAAAATTGTACCTATATTATTCCCAAGAATCGGTTCGCGAAATGATTCGATTTTTACTTATATTGAAGTGGCGGCAAGGGACAGCTTTTCAAAAATTTATCCATTATAAAGAGATTAAGTTCCTTATAAATATTACGTAACAATGATGATTGACCCCCCCCCTCCCATGTAACATATGATAACATTTTCTCGAACCCCCCCTCCCCCTAAACGTGTTACGTAATTTATGGACAGCCCCTAATTGAATGTTTCTTAAAATTGAGTTCTCATAAAGAATTTTATTATTAATTTTTTAAATAATTGAATTTCTTTGACGACTTTTAATACAATTTTTAAAAATAATTACATTTTTCGAGGAATTTGATTAAAATTGAATCAAAAATAATTGAAATTCTGAGATGAGTTTTATTATTTATGAGAATAATTGAAGTATTACGAAGAAATTTCTAAAAAATCTGTAAACAATTCAATTCTTATGGCATTTTGATTATTTATGAAAATAATTAAATGTTTGTGTAGAATTTTATAAAAAAAAATTTAATTACATAATTGAATTCTTTTGGAACTTATAACTAAAATTCTTCAATTATTTTTCATAATTTTTAAAAAAGTTCTATGAGAACTTTCAAATCCATTTGCTTATACAATTCAATTTTACAAAAATTTCATTACATATTCGTAAATTCTTCAATTAAATAGGTATATATTAGAAAATAAAAACTTCAAAAAATTTTTAAACAAAAACCGGACAAGTGCGAGTAGAACTCGTACTAAAACCGAGGGTTCCGTACCCTCGTTTAAAACTTCTACTTTTTTGCTGGAAAAAATATAAAGATCAACTCCAATATTTTTCGCTGTATTTTTTCTGTAATCTACAGGTGAAAATAAATAAATAACTAATTTTCATCTCTTCACATAAAAAACTGTGGGCGCTAGGGTAAAAAACACGTTTTTTTGACGAAATTTAAAAAAATTTTGAGTTTTTCGCTAAAAAAAAATATGAAGATAAAATCCAATTATGTTCGGTGTATTTTTCCTGAAATCTACACTTGAAAATACATCAAATAAGCAAAACTGTAGTCCAATAGGCCAAGAATTGTGAAAACCAAGGGAGGGGGGGGTACACACTTTTTTTCTAAAACGAAAATTTTTTTAGTTTTTCGCAAAAAAATATGAAGATGAACTCCAATAATTTTTTCTGTATGTTTGTTGAAATCTACACGAAAAAATAAATAAAAATGTATAACGCCAGTCCACTAGACTAAGAATTGAGAGAACTAGCATAGGTATAATTATTATCAAAAATTGAAAAACAAAATTTAGGTTTTCGCTCAAAACGCAATGAAGATCAATTCTAATCATTTCCACTATATTTTACCTGTAATCTACACGTGAAAATACAAAAGTGTACCAATTTTCAGCTCTTTAGGTAAAAAACTGTGAGTGCTAGGGTGAAATAAACGCTTTTTTGACGAAATTTTTAAAAACTTTAAGTTTTTCGATGAAAAAAATATGAAGATCAAATCCAATCATGTTCGCTATATTTTTCCTGAAATCTACACACGAAAATACATAAAATAAGCAAAACTGCAGTCCAATAGGCCAAGAATTGTAAAAACCAAGGGGGGGGTACACACTTTTTTTTAAAAAACGAAAAAATTTTTTAGTTTTTCGCAAAAAAAAATATGAAGATGAATTCCAATAATTTTTTCTGTATGTTTGTTGAAATCTGCACGAAAAAACAAATAAAAATGTATAACGCCAGTCCACTAGATTAAGAATTGAGAGAACCAGCAAGGGTTAAAGTATTTTCGAGCTTGCAAAAAGAGATTTTAGTTTTTCGATGAAAACACCATGAAGATCAATTCTAATCACTTCCGCTATATTTTTCCTGTAATCTATGCGTAAAAACGAATAAGTATGCCAATTTTCAGCTCTCCAGGTAAAAAAATGTAGGCGCCAGGGGGGGGGTACATGGATTTTTTTCGAAATTTTCAAAATTTTTGACTTTTTCGATAAAAACAGAATGAAGATCAATACCAAATGTGTTCGCTATATTTTTCCTTTAATCCATTTTTGAAAATACATATGCATACCAATTTTCAACTTTCTAGGTAAAAAACTGTGAGCGCTAGGGGGGGGGTACATGCCTTTTTTTGCAAAAAATGGCCAAAATTTAATGTTTTTCGTCGAAAACTCTATGAAGATCAATCCCAATCACGTTCGCTATATTTTTCCTGTAATCTACGCGTGAAAATACATACGTGTACGAAATTTTAGCTCTCTAGGTGTAAAACTGTGAGTGCTAGAGGGGGGGTACATGGTCATTTTTGTAACCGTTCCAATAGGGTTCCTACCGGGGTACGGAACCCTAAAAATCAATTAAACTTTATCAAGAACATTAATTCTACAAAATTGTTAGTTAAAAGTATTTAAAAATTTCAAATTATCAAAGATTTGAATTTGAAACCTTTTGAAAATTCAATTATTTCTAAAAATTCACGCTATAATGCTTTTAATATTCAATTATTATCTGAAATTTTAACTGAAATTCATTTTTAAATAAAGTTTCATTAGAAAATTCTACGAGAATTCAATTATTTAAATACAAAAATAGTTAATTTTTTGAATAATTGAATGTTTCTAAAAATTGAACTCTCATAAAGAATTTTATTAACGAAATTTTTAAATAATTGAGTTCTTTCGACGAATTTTAATGAAATTTTTAAGAATAATTGCATTTTTCGAGAAATTCAATTAAAATTGTATAAAAAATAATTTTAATTCTGAGACAAGTTTTATTATTTATGAGAATAATTGAATTAATACGAAGAAATTTCTAAAAAATCTGTAAGCAATTGAATTCTTATGACATTTTGATTATTTATAAAAATATTTAAATGTTTGCGTAGAATTTTATTAAAATTTCTTTTAAATAATTGAATTCTTTTTGTAAACTTTATTAAAATTTTAGATATTAAAAATCATTAAATTGAGTAAAATTTCTATAAATCCATTATTTTTAATAATTAATTAAATATATATTAATTTAACTAATTTCAAAAGAGTTTGAATTATCAAAATTTTTCAAAAATCTTTAAAATTTCTAATTAAATTCATTGAAAATTTAAATTTTATAAAATTTTTAATTAGAACCTTTTGCAGTTGATATATTTATGAAAATTGTAAATATAGAAGTCTTTTAAAATTCAGTTAATTTTGAAATATTCAAGTAACATGTAAAATTATTCATTTAATAATTTTAGTTCTTCAAGAATTAAGTTATTTGGAAATAAATTATTATAAAAAATAGAAAAGATTGTATGTTTTGTATTAGATTTCTAAAAATTTAATTGTTTCCAGTACTTTTATTAAAAATCCCTGACTTTAGCCTGATTTCCCTAACCAATTCTACTTTCCCTGATTTTTCCCTGACCTGTGGAAACCCTGTTTTTGGTATTTCAAAATATTATTTATTTGTTCACTGTCGATGTAAAAGTGAATTTGCTTTCATAAAAAATAAATTGTTGAGTAAGTTTTTGTTAAATATTCTAATTAAGGTCAATTTTTGAATAATAAAATGACAAGTAATCGCAACGCAAATATTACGATTTTTTTGTTAATTATATGGGACGCAACAGAAGTCTTCTGGATTTAGATCCTTGATTATTCATGATTTATGAACTACATATCGAGAATAACTTTCTTCATTTTGTTCGTTCCTCGAGAGGATTATTATGTCATACTGCTTTGTCATTGTTTCGATGAGAAAGTAATTCACAATCCGAACAAGTAATCAAGAAATCGTAATTAATCTCCAGTCCCACGCTGTCTACCGTTTTGTCACAATTCACGTATTAATTTTCAGTCTTCAAATTTCAAGAAAGTATTCTGTTTTTGACAGAGTGGAAAAGAAGTTTAGATTTATATTCGGTACTTTTTACCAATTAAAGAAAAAAAAAGAAAAAAATGAATTATAAAAGTTGTATGAAATATTTGAGATTGAAATACTACAATATTTCTAAATTACAGCTGAAGACTGTGATGGAGCGTTGCGAGAAGATACCGGCCGAAACTTTTGAGTCTAGAAATCGAAGTAACTCGGAGGATGAGCCAAGATTGTGGCCTCGTGTTGATCGTGAAGGTAAACCCTTGGGCGATTCTGAATACGTCGTACCGTCGCCGCCCGAAAGAGAGCAAGCAACATCGCAGACTCTCAGTCACGCTGATTTAGAAGCCTACGTCAGAAGCTATCAAGATCCGCAAACGCCTCAGGTACACTTCACACTTGAAGTCCTTTTTTAGTCCTTTTTTTAGCCTCTGCTCACAATTTGCAAATATTGATTGAGATTTATCATTTTTCAGGTGGATATTTACCGTGAAACAACCTTGACGCAAGCGGGTTTAGAGGAATACACGCGAGTACAACACTCTCAACAAGCAAGTTACGCACAATCCGAAGGTTACCACAGTTACGTTTCGAGTGTTGATTCCACAACTAATACGCCATTTCTCGATCGGTATGTAAAATTGTCTCACTGTTTGAATGGATAATTTGATGAATTTACCGAAAAATGTTAAATGTATTTTCCCAGATTGCGAAGAGATAGCGAGGCGGTGGCTCAGCGTCCGACTCCCAATTGGGAAGAGGGCTCGAGGGAAGGAAGAGACAGTGTAGTGACAACATCGAGTGGCAGTGCTTCAAGCAGCGAGACCCTCAAGTGGCACGGATCCATGTCGGACGTTAGCGTTTCGAGTGGAATGCCACCGCGACAAGTCAACTCCGACAGGTGGCATCATGGCTCAATGTCGGACGTCAGCAGCGTCAATGGTGGCTTACCCAGTCAACAACCGAATCACCATGACAAATGGCAGGGGTCAATGAGCGACGTCAGCACTGTTGACCTGACACCAACGAAAATGAGGCACAGCGAAAAGTGGATGAACGATCGCAATAAACAAACGGGAAGAACCAGCCTGCCCTCCGTCATTGGTCATTGCCTATCAAGTCTCGACGTTTGCCAACAAACAAATTCAAATCACGATAGCAAGTGGCTGGAATCAAGTATCGATGGCGACAGATCGAAAAGTTTACAATGGGACCAAATGGAAAAGTTTCAAAGTTATCAAGCCCGACAGCAGACGTCGTCGCAAAATCAGGATTGGAATCCTCTTCACGGCTCCATGTCGGACGTGAGTCTCGTCAATGGAGTTCAGGGCAGTAAGCAACTGATCGCCCACAGTGCTCGTGTTCAAACTCCACAGAGACATCATTCCGAGAGCGTCCTCTATCTCGATCGCGAACGAAGTCAAAGGAAACTTTACCCTGTCAACACCACTCAACCCACCGATCTGTCTCCCACTTCAAGGTCATTTTTCTTTTCATTTTTCATATTTATAAGAGAATTCGAACAAATTAGGGACTTTTATTAAAAATACTAGCAAAAATATGAAGATTCTCAATTTTCGCGTCTTTTTGTGTGCCTCATGAACTACCTATAATTTTTCCACGAATTCTAATACAAAACCATCAATTTTTCTATTTCTGACAATAATCTCTTCTTAAAAGACTTCATTCTTGAAGAACAATAATAAAATTATTATACTTATTAATAATTTTACTTAAAATATTTCAAAATTAATTCAACTTTGAAAGAGTTGCTTTTATAATTTTCAAAAATATAATGATGAACTTATAAAGGTTTTAATTTGAAATTTTTTAAAATTTCAATTTCGAATGAATTTAATTAAAAATTTTTAAGCATTTAGATTTTTGAAAAATTTTCATAATTTCAATTCTTTTGAAATTAGTTCAATGTTTTAATATATTTAATTAATTATTAAATTGTTTACAGGGATTTAATTATTTTCATAAATGATAAAATTCATTTTAAGAACACAATTATTATCATAAATAATAAAACTCATCTCAGAATTTTAATTATTTTTAGTATAATATTTTTATTGAATTCCTCAAAAAAAGTAATTATTCTTAAAAAGTTTATGATAAAATTCTTTATAATAATTCAATTTTAAGAAACATTCAATTATTCAATAAATTATTTATTTTGTATTTAATTTATTGAATTCTTATCGAATTTTCTAATAAAAATTGATTTAAAAATGAATTTTAAATAAAATTTTAAGTAATACATAATTGAATATTAAATTTGTTATTGATAAAATTCTTTATGAAAATTCAATTTTAAAAAACATTCAATTGTTCAATATATTATTTATTTTTGTATTTAAATATTTAAATTCTTGTAGAATTTTCTAATAAAAATTCAATTAAAAGCGAATTTTATTTAAAATCTTCGATAATAATTGAATATTAAAAGCATTATAGCCTAAATTTTTAGAAATAATTGAATTTTAAAAAGGTTTTAAATTAAAATCTTTAAAAATATTAATTTTTCATACTTTTAATTAACAATTCTGTAGAATTCATTTTATGTGAAAAAGTTTAATTGAATTTTTTAAAATGATTTGAGGTTTTTATTTTCTAATATATACCTATTTAATTAAAGAATTTCCGAATAATCGAAAATTTGTAAAGTTGAATTGTATTATAAGCAAGTGAATTTGAAAATTCTCATAGAATTTTTTCAAAAATTATGAAAAATAATTGAAGAATTTTAGTTAAAAATTTGAGAAAAAAATGATTGAATTGAAATGATGAAAATAATTTCGAAGAAGTTATAGTAATAATGATTTTATCACTCGGTCATCTTTAATTATTATTATAAAACATGAAGAAATCGAGTATACGTTTTAAAATAATATTCTTTCAAGTTATTGAATGTGAAATTTTTGTAAATTTTAAATCCTAAGGAAAAATAATAATGATTAAATATTTATTTAGAGAAGAAGAAGTTATTGTTTTTGAATAATTTTCCAATTCAAGAAATTTGTAAATAAATGTAATAGAACATTTTTTTGAGTATTTAATAATTTTTAGAATGAATCGCAGAATATTCTTTAAGGTCAGGGAAAAGTGAAGAAAAAAGAAAAATGAATTTTTTGTGGCAACCGTGTAAATTGAATTCTAAATGAAAATTTTCTTTCAGAAATGCGCAGTTGTCAGTGGCTGAACGAATTAGCGAATTGGAGAAGCAACAACAGATGCGATACACCTACCTAGATCCGGAGAAACGCCACCGAGTTAGTGATCCAACACTAAAGGCGATTCAGAAAAAGGCACTCTTGTCCTTCTACGAGAGGCATCACCAAACTTCCTCGTCCACATCCTCTTGGCGATCGGAACCACAATTAACTCAAGGCTCCCAAGCGCCGCCACCTCAACCACCGCCGAGACCAAGACCACCTTCCTCTAGACGCGCGAGTTCCGCCTCCGACTACGCCACCGGCAATTGGCGGGAGAAAATCACCAAATCCCTAAATTCCGAACTCCCGAGTCCGAAGCATCAACACAGCAACAGTTGCGGCAGTCTCTCGACCGATCTCCTAGGCCCCGTGATCGTCGGTCCTGCAATTTCGATCGACGACTGGGTGCCCGAACGGCCGCCCAAGAAACCCCACTTAAGAAACTACAACGATCGTCTACCGAGTCCGGATCTACCGCCTCCTTCCCCGCCAACAATCACCGAAAACGAAGTCATCTGCGACGATCCACTTCCACCACCACCGTCCGAGTTGAGCGACGATTCCGATTCAAATCGCAGTGAACAAAAAACATCCTCACCAAGAAAGTTGAAATCCAAATCCGACAGAAACAAACAAGACATCACCTTAATCGAAAACGGAATCAGAAGCACCCACCGATCAAGTCTCCGATACTCCCAAAAAATCGTCTCTATGAAACAAACCCGAAAACTCGAGTCGAGACCACCTGCGCAGCTTCCCGATTTAATAACCCAACGGTACGAGAAATCGGTACAAGGAGTACGTCCAAATTATCTACCGATTGATACCAGTAAAAGTAAGAATCACGAGAATGGTTCGCATAATTTCTCGATTGGCAGTCCTGTGAAAACTGGATATGAGGCGAATTCGAAGCACTTCTTGGAGGGAAGTAGTCCTCAAAAGTATCACGAACCACCAAAGTACGTGCCTAATCATCATTCACGTCATGGTGAAACGACGCAAAGGAATTATTATGCCTTGCCACCAAAGTACGTGGATCCTTCGAAACCAAAAGCGACGCAGTGCCCCTCGGAGAGATACAACGGCAACAATTTGGGATCGTCGAATTCACCGCCACCACCATTGGCACCAAGGCAAAATACTCCGGGAAGGAAATCGTTGCCGCCGCCACCGAGACCTGCGCCTCCACACGCTGTTCATGGGTGAGTACATCAATTATTTCCTTTTTAAAACAAGCCCACTCATTGAATTCTCTTGGAATTTTTCCTTTAGCCGAAATTTCATTTTTTCAATTTTCAATACAAATATAAATTCAACCCATTTTTTATTTGATAAATAAAAAATATCGGACAAATAAAATGTAATGGAATTTTTTATTTAATAGAATATTTTAATTTTTAATTTAATTTTTTTTTTTTTTTTTTAATTTTTTTTAGAATATTTTTAACAGAGTTCTCCTTTTAAGAAAATTTTAAATAAATTAAATTTTTGAATAAGTAAAATTCACGAAATTTAATTCAATAAAAAAGTTTAATATGAATTGAAAGACATTTCCTTTATAGGAATTTTCATTCAGCAAAATTCAGAAAAATTAAATTTTGAGAAACCCTAATTTTTTTAATCAAAATTTCTACTTAAAACACAGTTTATTTATTGAAAAACTCTTATTCATTAGAATTTTCATTCAGCAGAATTCTCACTAAACAGAATTTTAAGTCAATCAAAGTTTTGTTTACCTAAAAATGTATGTCAATAACTTTTTATTTTTTTTTGGGTTTATTAAAAAGATTTTACGTAGCAGAAAATTTAACGAACAATTAAATTTCAACAAATTAAGGATTTGATTGAATAAAATTTCTACTGTATAACAATTCTGCTTAATAAAATTTGATTATTTTTTTTTATTTTTTTATAATTATACCAAATAGAATTTCTGCTCAATAAAGAAATAGTTGATTAAAATTAATTAGATTAATTAATTAAAATTCTAGTAAGCAGAAATTTAGCTAAAAAGAATTTCTGATGCATAATTATTTTGTTGAATAGAAATTTTGCTAAATATGATTACTTAATAGAAATTCTGCTAAATACATATTTAGTAAACTGTTAATTAATAATAATTAATAAGAAATAAAAAACAATAATAAAACTGATAAAAATAAAATCTGATAGAAAAAATTAAAATAAGTAAAGAAGCTACTAATTAAATGTAGAAATTCTGTTAAATAAAGACTTTACTAAATAAATGTTTTGCTAAAGTTAGTAAAAGGTGAATAAAATTTCTGCTAAATAGAAATTCATGTTATTTTGATAAAATTTTGTTAAGTAAAGAATCTAACAAATATAGAAATTCTGCTTAATAAAGATTCTGCTAAATTTAAATCTTAAAAATATTGAAGATAAAATAATAATTCTACTAAATAAAGACGTTGCGAAATAAAAATTCTGCTAATATTGAAGGATAAATAATAATTCTACTAAAATATTCTACTAAATAAAGAAGGAGGATAATTGAAAATTTTGCTGATAAATTGCAATGAATAATAAATAAAAATTATAAAAGCAGGTTAATGAAAATTCTGCTTAATGAAATTTTGTCAAATATAAATACCGTTTAATAGAAATTGAGCTTAATAATCAGGCAGATGAATAAAAAATTATAATGAATAAAAAGATTCCCCCTAAAAAAATAGAATTTTCCATAATCCATTGTTTTTCGATTGATTTCGAAATTCGACATAAAAAGATAAGTGTTTACGATGAAAATATGATATGAAATAAATCATTATAAGAGAAGTCATGGTTCAAAAATCAGAATTGATTTTTATGAATCGATTGCTGATAATAATTGAATATATGGGCTACCGGAATGAAGGTTGCAATTCAAATTCAATCTCTTTTCTCTTTTACCAAGTGAAACTTTTTCTTTCCTTCTTTTTTTTTATCAAAAGCAATTTTTCAATCAGATAAAAATCAAAATGTTCAATATTCAAGTTTCATGCCGCGAATAAATTATGGTGTATTTCTTTTTTTTAATGGGTCAATTTACAATTACAAAATTTTTTTTTATTAACGTTTTGTGCACTTTTCAATTGTAATCAATTTGAATATTGCGATCGTTAAATTATTCGATGATTTTTAGGATAAATTTTATCAATCGGAAATTAATCGAATGTTGAAAAAAAATTAGTTTGCATCTAATTTCGTTGATAATTATTGAAATTGTAAATTAACTGATAATTAATTTTTATGCTATTAGGGAGCTGAAGACTTTGAATACTTTTATTTAAAGTTATTAATGTAGTTTTATAGTTGAAGTCAATTTTGAACAATTTGATTTTTAAATTGAGCAACTAAATTATAATACCTATTTGATTAATTTTGTAACTTGGACAATTAACTTTCATTTTTAAAATCAATGAAGCGAATTAATTATTATATGAATAAATTATTGACTCTACACTGTAAAAACTGGTATCTCGCTCGTGTCTTAAAAAACGTCTCAAAATGAGAGACTCGTTTTTGCAGTGTATATTCATTACTAAACAATTTGTTAAGTTATTTAAAAAATAATTTAATGAATTATTTATTAGATAATTTTAATTAATGGATCGTTTAATTATTTTATAAATAAATTCTTATTTTTACTAAAATTAATAGTTTAACTCTAAAATAAATCTTGAAGTCAATTATTGCTCCCTCAAAAAATATCAAAAATTTGAAAAGAAAGTTGAAAAATAGAAAAACGGAAAACAAAATGTTATAAAGAATATGAAATTATTATAAAGAATTAAATAAATAAATTTATTTCATTGTATATTCTTTTAAAGAGTCTTTACAAATTCCATAACAAAACTTTTTTGCTTAATAGCTATACATGAACATCAAAAATTAAAAGTTATATACAAATATAGTTTAAAAGAAGAAAAAAGCTGTCAATAATAATCAACGTCAATAATTTTTCTCTAAAGAAATTTATTTATATCGACAGTGTTACATAATCGAAAAAAATGCAAGTCACTATATAGACACAATGTAAAAATGATCCAATAATATTTGAATAAAAGAAATCTCGCGCATTGACAAAAAATTATGAAACTATCGTCACATGAACATTGAAAGTTAACCCCAGTGAAGAATTTCCAAATAGAGATCACATTTTATAGAATAAAAAAAGGAGAATATAAAATTTCCAAATAGCTATTTTACAATTTAACAAAAGAGATGGTCAGTCTATAATAATATGAAGATAGGATTCGAGAGAAATATATTACGTCGATCTATCAAACTCCAAGGCTAGTTAATAGAAGTAAAAAGAGAAGAAAAACGAGAGAGAAGAGGGTGTACTTACGAGCGATCACTAATTTAATTGATCGATCGAAGAGATAAAGACTACACAAATATATACACCTACTCAGAATACAGTTTCAGTAATAAAAATAATTGTTCGAGAATTACTCCATCTTTATATATATACATAGCCATGGCCATTTACTATTCAATTATATCGCAATTATAGAACCTCAATTGCCCTGAGCTTGAAAATTCGCGATGTATTTAAATAAAAATGAAAAAATAAATATAAAAACATGTAAGCATAAACCAATAATCTATACTTAAAACACCAGAGATCGATCCTCTGGTTTTACTTATCAAACGCTTTAATACGAGACTATTTAAATTTGACTAAAATAAATTGCTCTCTGATACTTTATGATTTTCTCTTGAATTTGTTCGTTTATGGATTAAACTCTGATTATGCCTCTAGATTACTCCATTAAATTTATCGTCCTCCTTTTTAGACGATTATCAATTTATTTCCTCTCCACCTCTCTCGCTTATTCAAAATTGCATTTATTTTCAAAACCAATTTCGAAAGACGCTCATTTCTTTTTCTCATTTTTCTTTCGGATAAAATCGAGTTTATTTCAATTTTTTCTGGTTTCTTGCAATATTGCATTTTTATTGAATTTTTAAAGGAAGAAAAAATTTATAATTATTTTTTACTATTTTAGTTTTCTGAATTTTTTCCTTTTTACCAAGTTTTAGTTTTCTCTAAATTTGAATTAGTAAAAATGTTTACTAATTTAAACTAGAGAGTGACTTTTTGCTTTTTAATTAGAAAACTTTACTAATAAATAGTCAGTTCTACTAACTTATTAGTAAAATTGAGGGCCTTCATACAATAGCTTGGTTGTAGGGGATAGTACCAGTCAGGTAGCAGTGAACGGCCCAGAGGCTCTCACTGCTGTCTGGCTGGTATTATCCCCTACAACCAAGCGTAGCGGTTGTTATTGTATGCAGGCCCTCAATTGTATTAAGAAATAGTTATTACGTATTAGTAAAATTTACTAATTCAAAAACAAAAAGTCAGTCATTAATTCAAATTTAGAGAGTAGGAAATTACTAATTCTCTAATTATTAATTATTAATTATAAATATTGAAATATCAATTAATTGAAATAGTAAAGTTTCACTACTTTTAACTATTTCACATTCACTACACTGTAAAAAATTTAGGGAGTTGACGGTCACTGGATTTGGGAGTGAAATTTTTCGAGTTAAAAATCAACTCCATAAGGGAGTTAATTTAATAAGTTCTTATTTTTACTGTGTAAATTTTTCAACTCCTTTCATCCAACTCCCTTCGGCTTAACTCCTAAATGGGTGCGACTTTTATAGAATCCCTTGGGGCGTTAACATTTAACACCCTTTTTCACAGTGTATTTAAATATCAAAATTAGTAGTTTTCCACTTAAAATTAGTAAATTCCGTATACTATTTAATTTTTAAACGAATGAACACTCTTTCTCTCTAAATTTGAATTATTAAAAACATTTACTAATTTTAATTAATGACTGAATTTTTGCTTTTGAATTAGTATATTCTACTAATTTAAATAGTAATTTCCACTAATTTATTAGTGAAATTTACTAATTCAAAAACAAAAAGTCAGTTACTATTTCAAATTAATAAACATGTTTATTTGACAAAAAAAAATATTTTGTTCATTTGAATTGACTTTATATTAGGAAAATGAAAATAATTATTAATAGGTAGGGGAGACTGGGCCGAAAGGTTAAACTGTCAAAACAGTTAAAATTCATTAACTTTCGAACGGAAATAGTTACACGGAGAAAATTTCTTTCGTAATGATTACAATAGTCTATATTACAGCTCGTATATGTGACCACTTTTTGTA